GCATGATAACAATAAGATGAGATGAGACAATACATGTTAAAACCCGAATACATACTTGTAAGCAATACTTCAAAAAAAATTTAAGTGAGAAAACAATCTCTGACAAAAACTGGTCTCTCTTTCGAATCATAAAAACACAAAAAATTATGTACAAGAAAATCGCTGAAATTAGATTCGCTGAAATTAGATTACTGTCAAAATCGCGAAATTTGCTGTTCGCGAAATTAATCTGGTATACGACATGTTTCACAGTGAACTTTTTGTTAGATATAACAATTTAATATATTTAATAGTGAGGTTCTGATTGCTTCTTATTTTCATTTTATAACAATTACAAGAGTTAAAAGAGCTTCACTGAGGTCAGAAAGATTAAGAAATTGAATTTGAAATGCTTGCATAGATCAAGTGGTGTACTTAAAATGGAAAAATCTACGAAATGCAATCTTATTTTATTTTATATAATATCGATATTTTGTACGAACTCTAGCCTGGTCTTAATAAAACCTAATACCTGTTGTATAAAAGTCACATATTACGACTAAAGTTTTGCAGATAGAACTGAATTTTTTACACTTGTGAAAGAATTATTTACAAAAACACTGTTTGAAGTACGGTTGGCATATAATCCATTTACAATAGGCGAATAATCAATACACTTAAAGTATATAATAACATTGATTTATAACTGTTATCATATAACGGCGAAAGTAAAAACATATTAATAAGTCGCTTTATCATAAACGTTTAGGCATGATCAAAGTATATTATGATTTTTTTTTTAATTTCTTGATAATGTTTTTGTATGTAACAAAATGATAACGAGACAGAATGAATGTCAGTTCAGTTAAGATGCTTTGATAAAAATATCATACGGACATAAACGGCATTACTGCTAAATTAATATCTTATTTGAATCAATATCAAGCCCAGTGTGGCATTTTAATTTCGCACTTTATTTCAAGTGGGATAATGCATTTTCCTATTCATTGTCAGCGTTAACATTAACATGCATTTCCAGCCGGAAACTTAAATTACAAATATACATTTTTTGACATGAACAGAAATGAGTTGTCATTTATCACTGGTTCCGTTTGGTTGGGGAAAAGTAACAATTATATTGTCGACAACTATTTCAATTTATATATCAGACCTAATTAAAACTTCTTGTATCTAGCTTTCGGTCTATTTTCTACCAGAATCATTTCATCAACAACTATTCACTTACAGGTCTTGGGTGATAGAGAATATGTTCAACCCGATAACTAGTATATAACCCCTAGGCGCTACCGAGGGGTAATATGTCAGTTCAAGGGTTAGCAATATACTCTATCACCCAGACAGTCATGTTTAATTTATATATTAACATCTTTCGAAAGAGTATGAAAAAGAGTTATGCAAGAGTTATGTGCCCCAGGGTGATATAAGAAATATTCCCTGTGAAATATATCCTAGGTGGGTGATATTCAATCAGAACACATAATAGGCCTTTGGAAGTTTTACATTGAAGGATATATTGAGGTATAATGATATATGATATTACGCGTGGTACTGATTAAATAATATGTGCTTGTGTATGTAAGAAATCGCGAATGAGAGAAAATCATGCTGAGTGTTATTTTGTGGTGTTTTATACGAGGAAAAACAGCTTCTGTAGAGCAGAATGTCAAATGAAAGCCGACACCAATCTCATCTAAATTCGATAAAACTCTATATTCTTCTAAAGTATTTCCTTATCTTTACTAATTATACGATTAAATTTGCGTCCCTAATCTCGATTGTAGTTTTACCTAATTTGAATAATTTATTTTGACTTGAATGATAGTTTCAGCTCTACTGTATGGGTCACATGGCAATCTCGAAATACATTATGAAAGTAATTTATCACAAACTCGTGCTACTTTTCCGTCTTCGTAAAATTGGTATTACACGGTCATGCATATATTTAGATGTAACGTGATTCGCATTATACAAACATAATGTAAAAAGACGCTAGCGCTAAAAGTTAGCGAAACACTATAGGCGCGTAAAAAATTCACTTTAAACAACCTTAATTTTTTGGTTTGTGATAAAATGATATTATATTCGTGTAGTTTTTTTAACTGAATTTATTGATTGAAATAATGTATGCTCGACGGAGACTCGCATAATAAAATCTAATTCTTCTCATTAAAGAATTCAGCAAAGAACTCACTCATTATCCCATACGTCTTGTTTTCGTCAAAGTTGTGAAGGGTTATAAAGTATAGAATTTTCTAAGATTTGATATCATGATTTGATTTTATATTTTATTGTATGTTTAGTTGTGTTAATTTTCTTGTTGCGAAAGGGCTGGTATATTTATATACTTTTATTGTCATCATCATTGATTTTTGTTGTTTTTGTTTTAATAATACTTTTTTCACACATCTGCAGGCGCACACACGCACATCTACGTACGAACTCTATAAAAGTATGTTAACTTATCAGTGAATTAAAAATATAAAAAAGCTTTCTTAAAAGAAGTCATATACTAGTATTAAGAAATTGATAATGTGACGAACAAAGTATGTTGTAAATTTACCGATGCAAATATTTCTTAAAAAAGGATGATATTTTGAAATTTTGATCACTTCTTGATATCATTTAAATGAATGAGTAGGCATAGGCCTTATAAAATTGTCTTATACCATACATTTTATCTAAAGTATTATAAATAAAAGGAAATCACAGAACTATTCTAAAGCAAATTGTTTGACATGACTTGATTATTATGTTTAGATAAAATAATTAAAATAAAGTAAATTTCACATTACCGTAAAGAAAAGTAACATTTCTAGAAAAGTCAACTTTGATCAAGAATAAAAAAAAATCGTTTTCTCTGGGGAAAATGATTCTATTAAATTGTCAAACTAAAGTAGACTGTTATCTTCATTAAAAGTCCATTTTAACTGTATTTCTCTTACAATTATTCTCAGATACTATTATACCGACAATAGGCTGTAATTAAAATCTCAAGGCTTAGAAAATAAGATCTAATTTTGCAATTAAATTTGGCGGTATTAATTTATTTCACAGTGAGTATTTCTGCCTCTAAACGATTATCTCACAGCTTCAAAGCTCCATGGTAGTTAACTGTACAGTGCTATTGTTGGTATGCCATTATCCCCATAGTTGAGTGATTAAAAGGCTCGATTTGCACCCATAATACTGAAATTTTATTTCACAGTTTTCTTCTGCTTGGTGTTACATTATAGTTTTAGAAAAGATAAACATTGGTCATAAAGCTGAATAAACCTTTGCGTGTTGGCCGTTAAGGTGTTGTTTTGCTTCTTTTCCTTTTACGGCATATCATTTCACACTCCACCTGGTTTCTGAACATAATAAGTATAATTATAATAACAATAAGAAAATAATGAATAAAGGATAAACAGGATATTTGTTTAGTTCAGTGTAAGATCGGAATATATTTCACCGAGTGAGCACCAAAAGGTATATTTCACGAGTGGCGCTTTTGGTGTTCTCAAGGTGAAATATATTTCGATCTTTCACTAAACTAAACAAACTTTCTTTTTATTATATGCAAAGAAACGTTTTAAAAAGGCATTAAACCTAATACTGAATGAAAAGCGCGCCAAATATTAATACAACGTGACGTCATTTGGTTGGTACCCAGTTCTGTGCACGCTAGTATTTCACTGAAACAACGTAAGGGGCTTAAATTCAAAACAGTGAAATTATCAAAGTGGTTTTATATCACTGATATATTTCTATAAACCACCGAAAAGCATGTAATAAAATTGTATATTTTAATTATCTAAAGACAATTAAGATTTCAAAATTTATCACACTTTAAAATATCGAATATGCGTAAATAGTCGCAGCATTAATAACTCAAGCATGTTAACTCTGTCAAGAAATTGGTTAGAATCCTGCACTACAGAAATTTATATGTAAGAAATTAAGACTGATATTTTAGAATACTTTAACTTAAGATATGGGCTAAACATATATTTTCAATTGTGCATAGAGTGATTTTATTGTAAAACTAAAGTTATTAAAAAGATAATAAAAATATATTTGAAAATATTTTCTGCTGATTTTGTGTACCCGCCTTAACCCCCAAAAAGATGTCTGTAACGAACGTTATAACAATGCTTATTAAATAGATTACTTATCTTCAGTTTTATTGTATACAATATAGATTGTTCTAACTACATTTTTTTAAATTCGTTCATATTTTAGCAATGAATTTACTCTTAATATCATCCATGCTACCGGATTATATGTTATGCTTTTAAGGTAATGCTTTATATCTAGAACAGAAACTCGCGTATTTCACATCTCGCATGAATAGATGTGCCTTTACAGATTAAACAAATACTAAACTCATTTATCATATCGCATAACATTCAGCAGCATGTTTTAGGTAACAGTGTAATATCCCTCGACACTTAAACAATAAAATATATGTCATGTCGCATAAAATTTAATAGCATGTATTAGGTTTGATTAAATGTCCCCTTGACATTGTCACGTTAAATCCATCATAATGCTAAAAACGAATTGATTTCATACCTGCCATACGTTCTGCTTTACATTGCAGTTCAAGAAATATATGTCAAAGCGAAAACCAAAAGTGCATTGTTTAACTCTCAATCGTTAAAGAACAAAATATATTTTAAATGGTTTGTAAAAAATGATACTCTCAAAAAGTATTGTATAGTTCAGTAATGTTTATTATGATTTATGGAAAAAATGTGAAAGAAAACAAAATCAATCAAGATTAGAAAACACATAACCGTTTACATGACATGTGTTATCATTTTGTATTCATTCAATTGTTGAATAATCAAATATAATCTTCTTTACATTTAATTTGATTTGAGGAAGATCATGGACAAAGGCAGTTTGTAGACTCATAGGTTCTTATTCTATACAAAATTCAGCTCCATGTCTGAGCTTCCATATTTCCCTATAAATTGTTAGATTCTTATTCGATATAAGGTAATTACTTTTTTCAGAGACGTATATGTGTCCAGAAACCCACATGACATGTGCCAACCATTATTGTATACCGAACGAGGCTGCTTGTAATTACGAAGACGATTGCGGGGATAATTCGGATGAAGAGAAATGTGGTAACTATCTTTGTTTGTTTTATGAAATTGTGAGGCTGTCCCTAATGACAATAAGGTAACCTTAAAGACTTTTACACGTTATATTTAAAACTTTTAGAATACATGTATAACACATTTAGGCTATGCTTAATTAGTATGTTGGTACACCTGATTTTTTTTAATTTTTTAGAAAAATAGCGCGAAGTTCCTGTATATATCTATATGTAATTGCACAGCAAGCGTTCCTGAATTCTGGTTCAGTAAAACGCAGGCAGAATAATAATACTGAAACCTATTTAGCTAGCAGAAACAAAACATGAAGAAGCTCAACATGCCTTACCTATACCATACTAAATATTTTAAAATTGACTTGACCATCTTGCAATCAGGATCCATCGATCTTTTTTTAAGTACTTACAGAGGGGCACACATTGTTGACAATGATCAGGCGGCACGGAAGTGTCGGCTTGAAGTAGTCTTCACTTGTATTTTGTTGGCACCAGCAGGCGAAAGGTTAAACTAAATCTGGTGCAACATCCGCTTATTTACTATTATCTACTTTTTAAGACATTGAACTATTGAAAATAACGCAACATAGACAAATTTAAGCGATTGGGATATGCGTTAAAATATTATGAACAGATATTGGTGCCGGATGAATCTACCTTAATGGCTTATACATTAATGTAAAATGCAATGTAATACAAAAATATCCTTTTCCTAGACACGGTGTCGGGGAGTCTTAAGTTTTATTGACCACGGACAATGCATAACTTTGAAAATAATGTCATTGTAATGATAAAATGGTTATTTTAGTCAATACCATAATCATTTTCAATTGTATAATATTTTCCCGTTGTATATTCAAATTGCCTAGCCGAGTATCGCCCAGTACAATATTTATCGTAAAAGAGTTTTGTATGTCTAGGATATGGGGGATTATATAAATATAAAGATATAATTGAAAGTGTTATAACTGTCATTTGGATCCAAGTCTAGAAAAATATAAATAATAGGGAAAACGGTTTCCTATCGATACGATTTGTTTGTATTATTTAAATGAATAATATACTTACATTTGTTGTCATTAGCAGAATAAAACAGTTGTTGAATTCATTGCATAGCTTTTTGTGGTAGTTTCACAAAATTGTTACAATGTGAATTATATTTATAATATTACATTATATATCTTATGTTAAAAAGATGCTCCGAATAAGGTAAAATGAAATTAGATATTATAATATGAAATGAAAATACTTATAGACCTCAAAAATAGCAATTACATACTAGTGTTTAACTGTATTTCAAAAAATGAAGTTAGGAACAAAGTTTAAACGTTCTTTTGAAACGGGCTATAGTAATTGTAAAAAAAATCCTTAATTGAACTAGACTATAAGACTGTCTTTCTCAATGAAAATAATTATATTATTAATTATTGCAATGATATGATAGTTTGATAGTCTTACCTTTTTTATTCTGCAGAATACCGTGACTGTTATTTGTCAGAATTTCCATGCAACGATCGTCGATGTCTGCCAATGGGATTATTATGTGACGGAGTAGCCAACTGTAAAGACGGAAGTGATGAAAATAATTGCAGTATATATCTTTCCTTTTTTTGATTACTCGTTTTGTAATTCATCTCTTGACCCCATTGTTTTCTCGTTTAGGGCACACGCATTTTTTTACTTGGGGACCATATGCCGCTTTTCATGGAATTACACTACCGTGTCACATTGAAGGTTCCATGATAACCGCCATATGAACACATCTGCGGATGTTTCAAAATTCTAAATTTTACCAGTTCATGTTAAATGTTGAATTCTGCTTAAGCCGGTGCTAGGGGGCGTGGACGGTAACTTGCACTTTCCAGTACCGTCCATGAACAGGCTCGATCAAACCGAGCCTGCAACATTTTCAATTTTGACGTGTTGGGCTTTCTTTAGGGATTCTGTATTTATCTATTTTATATCCATCCGCCATTTTTGGAACTGTCAATTACAAATATTAGCGTACCTGACATAAGATATGTATTTGCCAGACTGCACGGTGCCCTGGTTTAGTGTTGTCAGCAACGGTTAATGACTTTTCTTCAAGCAGGGTTAGGGTAGACTGGAAAAAATGTGGAATGCAGGAGTATCCATGCCCAGTATACATATTTCAAGTATATTCTCCTTATAGAGATACTAAAAGGCTGAATGCCTTTAGTGCCAGAAATACAATAGGGGTTGATTTTGAACATGTATCATGTAGAAAATATAATATCAAAATAATAATTATTTATATTTTTTCTTATTTCGAATGCAAGTATCGCATAGTGTATTTGTTAATAATAAGGTGTATGGTCATAAAGAAGAAGAATTAAGAGCATTGTACTGACAGTCCAACTTTATGGATTGTGGTATCACTTGATCTATGAGGTGATACTTCAGAGAAAAAGCATTAAAATCAAATAGTTATTCACGTATTGCTCTATGTGGATAATTTGCAGCCTTTATATTTGACTATTTTCTAGAAGGGCGCTTTATAAAAACGTTACAAGTTTACGACACCTTTAGTAACAATTTGAATTTAATATTACATGGTCCTAAACGCTAGAAGGTGTTTTTATTATAAATAAGATTTAGCAATGTTAAAAATAAATTCGTATTCACTTTATCACTTTAAATGTGCATTTGTTTTAAATTATTGCAATATTTCATGTCGATGTTTATGACAAATTGTTACTTTCCATTTCGATAGTATTTCCCGTTGAAAATCTGCAAACCACTTTCTGACTTTCCGTTTCTAAAATATTACTGTCTTACATTAAGATATGATTTCATACAGCAGTCTCCAAACGCGAAGCGTGCTGTTACTTGTTAAAGGTGATAGCTCAATAATGCCTCTTTTAAGATGCATCGGGAGTGTCAATATTGGTATATATTTTATCACATTAAAAGACAAAATGTAAATGTCAGAGTTAGATGATTACATTCTATGTCAAGGCCTACATCTTTTTTTTTTTCTTCATATTGAATCATTTCAGTAGAGTATGTACACATCTGCAGATGTTTCAAAATTCAAAATTTTACCATATCATGTTAAAAATGTTGGATACTGCTTAAGCCGGTGCTAGGGGGCATCGACGGTAACTAGCACTTTCCAGTACCGTCTATGAACATGCTCAGTCAAACCGTGTCTGCCATATTGTCGATTTTGGGCGGTCTTAAGAAATTCTTTATTTCTCTCTTTTCTATCATGCTATCTTTCAGAAATACAGATATTCTACTTTGGCGCCAAAACGACACACTTAGTTTAGCAGATCAAGATTTACTAGTCAAAAGTTTTAGATCTGGTAAAACAAACAAAAATTGCATTTAAAGCTGTATGCCTCCATATTCATACAAAAGTGTCATGAACGTTTAAAAAATGTATTATAAATTAATACAGTGTCAACAAAGAAACTAATTTACATATTGCAAAGGTTAAATAAAATCTAAACACAAATTATAAAAATAGGTTGGAGTATGTATAATAACACTTACTGTGTAAGTAACGCAGTAGAAATATAATGATAAATATTGCAAAACCACTCATACGTTTCATATTTATCATTTCCTGTATTATGAAATTAAATCAATATTTTACTTTTTTAAATAGATTGGTACATTACCTCAAGGTTGAGTTTCCTGAAATATTTAAAGTAATAATAGTAATGATAATAAAAAGATATTTTAATTAAAGATGCAAGTTGGGCGTGGCCAGTCTTCCCTTGAGCCTCGATCAAAGCTCGTAATATAAACATTTACAAGCAGCACAAAACATGCATCTTTAATTATTCTTAGCTTCATCAGATATTATTGTTTCATTTTGCTTAATAAAATCAGAACATTAATCAAGTGGATGTTGTTGTTGTTGCTGTTGTTTTATTTCAGTTCATTTAACTTTTCTTTAGCTGCACACTTTCAATGTGAAAACGGGTTCTACATACACAAAAACAGGGTTTGTGACAGCTGGACAGAATGTTTCGAGAGTCACGCTGATGAAACTAACTGTAAGTTAAAAAATATTATTCGTAAGGACTTAGTGGTGATTTGCAAAAAGGTTGCTGAGACGATTGTGAACTCTTACCTATACTCTCAAAACGAGTTACTGATTTAACCGCCGTGTTTTTATCTCTTAAAAGACAATTTTAATTATCTTTTTTGCACTTTTAAGGGAAATCCTATGTTTATTGTTATTCTTTCACTTCTGTAACGAATAATAATGAAACACTAATAAATACGACTTTGTGTATAACTAAAATACATTTTCATAAACTTTTGGGTACTGGACGTATTTGCAATTTAATAAGTATAATGCCAATCGTCAATAGCAAATCAGAAAAAAAAACTTTTTATTTATTTTAATATAGCTCGATTGTGTGTTATTCAATGACTGTTTTCAGGCGGACCATGTGCAGATGACCAATTTAAATGTAACAATGGACGGTGTATTCGGAAATCAAACGTGTGTGACGGGGAGTGTGATTGTAACTATACATGTGAAGATGAATTTGGGTGTGGTATGTTCTTTTTCTATATATTTGATATATCATTGAATAACTAACCATATAATAAGGAATAAGTTTTAGTTCTTCTGGACAATGTTTCAGTATTTTGAGGTACATTGTCTACCTCTGACATAAAACACAGTTTCAAATATTCTGGAAGTTGTTTTCTTCTTTGTTTAGTAACTTTGTAGAACCTGTAACATAAAGCATAAATACTTACCTTGATGTAAAGTTTAAGTTTCAATGAAATGTGACCATGTAGATACATTTGTCCAGTAATACTACAATAACGTCATGCTTCTCATGTCTAATAATAATGATAATGTATTTCAGTGTATAAATACATGCCATTTCATGGTACAAATCACATAATTATTGTCATTAGTGAAGTAATATCAAAATAAAAAAGCATATAAAAAGTACTGAATAGGACTAAAAAACAGTAATATAATTATCGTTATAAAAGAGACATTATCAACGATAAACGATATCAGATATTTCCAAGTTACCAATAAATTAAAAGGATGACAAGGGGCATTTAAACATGTCTTGGCACAAAAAGGTAAGAATGAATTGACTTGTTTCCATTGTGGCCTAGAACTAGTTTTATATCTTATACCGATTGCAAATATAAGAATGATTCAAGGAACATTTTTATGATAAATTGGATTCTATTTTATAATATTTATATGATATTGAATACGCCATCATTCACACACCAGACTACCACTCTAATCAAACAAACTATAATATGCAGTACATAAAATGGGATTGTTTAGCAATTCTATAATAAAACCAGTAAGACTCCTTGAAGTCTCGTCGTTTAAATTTAAACAAATGTTCAAATGTGCTTCAAAATATCAAATTTATCATTTTCTTTTTTTTTCTTTTTATTTTATAGTATTATAATTATTATGTTCTATAAACTGCTGTAATACATGGAATAAAAGACGTACTGCCTGTCTCCTATAAAAAATACAAGTCCCAATACGGACCTGTCGGAGATATAACAACACAAACCATGTATTTGAAGGATTTATTTCAATTCGAAACTAAATAATATAGATTATGATTTCATGAAAAAACTTTGTTAGTAAAGGAAAAACAAATGAAAAATAAAGCAGATCACAAATTGTTCTAGAATAAACTATGATTAGTATTCGGTTTTAAAAATGGTCATATTAAATCACTTAAAACGCGATCAATAATTTTTCATGAAATATTTAATTATTTTTAAGAATATCGAAATGATACGTTTTTATTGTTTTCTTTAAATATTTGAAATACTTACTGAAAAATGTGCCCGTAAGAGACCAATCCGATTTTATAGATAAAAAGTGTTCTATGTAATAAAACTATGTAAATATGTATGTATGTATGTATGTATGTATGTATGTATGTATGCATGTATGTATGTATGTGTGCGTGTGCGTGTGCCTGTATGACCGAGATTAAATTGATTTACATGACTGTATATTTGTAGATATAGCATGCCCAAAGGGTGAAAAATACGTCTGTAGGAATAGCCATCGGTGTATTTCAAAAGAATACTTATGTGACGGGCACAATGATTGTTTAAACACAGGAGTTGGTGCAGACGAATTTTTCTGTCGTAAGTATACACTTATTAAAGCTGAAAATAGTAAATTTTTAAAAATCCAAGTGACAACTCATTGTTAAATTCGATTTCTTTATTTATCTGATGTCAAATTTACTTATTCTTTTATTCTCTTTGGTTAGGTTTTACGTCGCACAAAACAGTATGGCGATTTTCCAGCTTTATGTTTAGAGAAAGACCTCCGGTGCACCTCTCTACATTATTTCAGGCACAAACGGGCACCTGAGTTGAACCACCGAGGTACCTTAAACTAGCTGGATAGCTGATATTAAAAATTTACATTGCATGTTAAACATTGCAATTTCTATTATGGCTGGAAGAATGTACAGTTTAAGTCGCTACTTTTTTGTCGTTCTTGCATCATTGGGTTAATTTGTTTTAGTGTGTCATGTTTTAAATCTCATATCCAAGGCTTATTTTAGATCTGATTTATTTTCAGGCAAAAACAGATCAGAATGTGATCCACAGAGTGAGATTTATTGTTCGGAGGGCCGATGCCTGCCAGCAACTGGATCTCAAAGTGTACTTTGTGATCATTACGTCGATTGTTTGCATGGAGAGGATGAGGAAGGGTGTGGTATGTTAAACTTCTTCTGTATTTCTTTACTTAATCTACAGCTTTTGATTGTAATTACGGCCAAGAAGGTTAAACGTGTTGTTAAACTATTTCTGTTATTTTTTCTTAGCTTTTGTAAAAATGACTAAAAAAGTAAAACATGTAATGTATGACATAAGTTCAGCGTGATATATATTGCAAATCGCTCTGGGGTAGATTTATCTACTAAATGCAACATGAGTGTTGTGTGAGCAAAATGGTTAGGTTCTTAGCGCGGCTGGAACAATTGTTATTGTTACCTTTATGTAGAGATATAACACTTAATCGTTTGGCATCAGTTGCTCACAGACAGTAAAACGTGTGGTCTCAAATTGTATCTTTGTTAAAGCATTGAATAGACATATTGTAACGTCGTCGGACACAGTGTCATTAAATATAAAATAAAACAAATGACTCGGCGTGCCGTGTTTTTGATGCATATTAAAATCATTTTAAAACAGTGTCGCTTATATGTATTACATTAAGCCATACATGTTATATAAAATTTAATATTTAAAATTATTAAGTCGTTATAATATAATTATAAAATCATCCCCAAATAAAAAAATTTTGTCAACATGTATTATTCAGTTATATATGTTGTACAAAAAAAATTTATTGACCATTTAAACATTCGAGTAATTCAAGTAAATGCTTCCCGCAATAATCTATTATCTCAAATTATGAACATTTAAGTAATTCTAACTGATTTCCGCAATAAAAGGATCGCACAATAAACCACTCTATCTAAATCTCTAAATAAAATACACATGTACTTTATTTTCTTAAACCAGAATACGACTCGTGTGATGAAGTTACCGAATTTTCATGCGGCTATGGTATGTGCATTCCATTGGAGCTACGATGTAATGGGACCCCAGACTGTTACAATAGATCTGATGAAGTTGGTTGTGGTAAGAGCAATAGTTATTTAAATTACTGAAAAATATTTTGGTTAATATCATTCCATACTGTTCTTCAGATGTAAACAATTTTGGTGAAGATAAGAATATCAATCGCTGAAACGATAGTGAAATCTATGTTCTTAAACTATTACGTCGAAAAGTGAAACAGTATCCTTGTATTTATCCTTTAAAGTTGGATAAGAAGAACAATCTTTGGTTGTTAGATAAACAGTAAAATGGCTGTAAATTTTGAGTGTGCCATTTTTTAAAGAACCTGTCGGATACTTATCTAATGCGATAACAGTTTAGTCCTTATTTGACACAAGAAATATAAGTCTGTAAAAGCATATCATAATTAACGTTACTATTGTCAAGAGGATGACCTTTTATAGATAGGTTTCTAATTATTGACGGCTACAAAGTGTTGGGAAAAAATGACAATATTTTAACTGAAATAATTGTTTCTGCTTTTTTTAGAAAAACATTCATGTCCTTTTGGAATGAAAGCATGTGAGAGTGGAGGACATTGCATTTCACCGCAGCATTGGTGTGACTACGTTCGGGATTGTCCAGATTTCTCAGATGAAACCGACTGTGGTAAGGGTTTAAGAATATAACCGCCTCCAGAATAAGTTTGCAAATCCGGAATTTTCGCAAACTCATCTACCCTTTATAAATTGATTAGAGAACAATTTTAAAGACTTGTCAATAAAAAACATAGAGTCAAGTAAAACCTGGCCTTTGAGATGCAGATACCATTAAAATTAAATGCAGGGGAAACATTCAAACTTGGCCTTTCCATTCTCCCATTGGGGTTTTGGTCCCCCGGTGGAAGTCCCTTTGGGTTTTATTTCCTTTTTACGACAATCACGGGAGAATAAAAAATATATATTTATACCATTAAATTATGGGTTTTTTTATATCATTATCATAGTATTTTATTATTATCAACATTGTTATTATTGTTACCGTTATTATTGCAATCATTATTATTTATCCAAATGTATTTTATGGTTGGTGGAAGCATTTTTGTTTGTAGGCAGCCCTGAACGTAGCTAACGTACATAACACAAACGTAAATTATGTAACAGTTTGCTTTATCATAGTTCAATTAAACATTTTAATAAAATACGTCTTTAAAAACGACAACACTCTTGTTATATATTTTTTGCGAATGCACAAGGACAAAACAGTTGTAGACTTTTTTATTTACATATATCATTTATTCATTAGTGACCTAAAAAGTAATAAAAAAAAGCAGGTAATTATATAATATACATTTTGACATTTACAGTTTGCAATAGATGCATTCTTTCTATGTTTATTTATATAGAAATTTCACAAGATATTCATAACAAATTAAATAAAGATATAAACAACTATACATAGCACATAATATCTATTCATATAAAACTTACATTTTTACATTTTACATTATGCAAAATTTGCTAGTAAAGTGTTAATATTTCATAAGATAAACGAGTATGTTATAAATTGATATAGATAATTGCAACTATGCTTAGTTGTGAATGTATGATTAGTTATCAATCAAGAAAGTAAAGAATTCCATGAATCAGATTCTCGCTTTATTCACAACGGAATTAATTGAGAAAGGAAATAAAGCAGACGGAACGCGGTAAATGTTGCATGCATCTGCAATGATAAATTACGTCATTTTTCACGAACGACAAGCAATTAGGGCGTACGGCCAACAATCTGTTGAATAAGCTCTATAAAAGGAATAAATAATTGTACGTAAAATATCCTTGTGGGATTTTTTGTGTGTGTGTGTGTTTTTTGTTGTTGTTTTTTTTTTCCTATTTATTTATTTATTTATTTATTTTTTTTTTTTTTTTTTGTGTTTACTATTTTTCTTTTTTCTTTTACGGTTTCTATATTCTTTATATGTACAGATCTTAGTTCAGATCTTAGTTTAAGTATTTGATTACAATACTTACGAGATTTGTTAGATAACTATTCTAATATCACTGAAGTTTTTTTTTAATGTTGAGTACTGTTAAAGCACTCTTTTGCCTGCTTTTTAAATTTGTCTTTTGTCGTCTTATCTGTGATATGCTTCATATCCACTTTCAAACTCCCATTTTTTGAGTTAACCCATTGTTTTCTCGTTTAGAGCACACGCATTCTTTTACATGGAGACAATACGTCGCTTGTCTTGGAATGGCACTTTCGTGTCACATGCAATGATAAAAGCCGTATAAACACATCTGCGGATGTTTATTTATTTAGAAGTTCACCATTTCCATGATTGAATGTTAAATCTGCTTAAGCAGGTACTTGGGGGGGCTTGGAGGGTCAGTACCGTCCATGAAAAGGCTTTATCAAACCGCGCCTACAACATTTTCAATTTTGTCGTTTAGAACGTTCTTTAGTATTCCTTTCTTTTCTCTATTTCTTTTACTGAAAGGCCGACTATGTTTTAAATCATCCTTGTTATAAAGTTTTTTTGTTTTTTTTCAATTTTGACAAGCTGAGTTTGTTGAGTTTGAAAAAAAATAATGCTGTTTCTTGCTTGCTTATGGTTTATTGCTTGCATAACTTGCAGTTTACGATAATGAAATTAGAAAAATCACTACTCTTGCATATTTTTCGAGTATAAATGTAGATTTCCAACACTTATTTTGTTTAAACAATGTGTATTTCTAATTCAATATTTACACACAGAATTACAATAGATAAATTGCATTCAGGATTGTGTAGAAATATTGAAGCTTATATGAAACTCTCTCCTGCAAGACTTATTTGAATAAATGACATACATTTAGAATAATATGATGTCCTACTTGCAGTTTTATAAATATTGTCATCGTAAAAAAAAGTTTATCAATGATATTTTCTCACATTGATTTTAATGAATGCACATTTTACAAAATATTTTATGGACAGATACAAAATTTATATAAAGGATGGTAATGGTTTCGTTTATTACGGATATTAACAAATTTATTAAGCTGAAGCAAATCCTCGTAAATCAAATCCTTGCCTTATTGACAGCAGAATTAATTTGGAGCGGAATGTAGGCGGTTAAAGGGCGCGTTGAAATTGTATATATTCAATGATGATAGATTGCAAGGACGAAAAGTATTCCATATGATTTGTATTCAAATGAAATGAAATATATTTCGAAATAAACTGACCATAATTATGTTTTAAGCGTGTTGCTTTTCCCAAAGTATGTCATTGCTTTATAAAAATGAAAAATTGATTTCTAAAGTCCAAAAAGTTCACTATTATTTTCAGCATGAAAACAGAAAAAAAAACACATTAAAATTTTATCCTTCTTTTTCTATTTGGCATTCTTCCTTACATTTAAAAAAAACTTTTGTGCAATTCCAGAAGATTGAGGCATCTTTAATCGTATTTTTATGATAATCAAGTGTAATAATTCATCGTAGCTGCATCTTATTTAAATATTAAATGCTGCAGTTTACCAAACAGTCTTTGATTAAATGGCTTAGTTTTGTGAAAAGATTATGCCGTTTTGGCTATTTCATATTCGTAAAATGCAGTCACGTTAATCAATCAAGCTAATATCTAACGATTATTTTGTGGGAACTATTTATTTATTAAGTCATATTCCAGCGCGTCCAGATCTTTTATATTTGTTTGTAGTGATGCACTTTGTACGTCGTTTATATGTATGAACCAATGCAGTTACAGTAATCAATCAATTTGATATCTAACGGATTTGTTTTTGTTCGACTTATTTTTTATTAGATTATATTCCTCTGCATTTTATATTTGTTTCTAGAAGTACAAAAAGATTCAGGAGTTACATCTATGTAATAAAGCAGTTACGTTAATCAGTCACTTTGATATCTAACGATAAATATGTTGGCACTTTTTTATTATTAAATCATATTCTCCTGCGCTTGAGTCATTTGTATGTAACCTTTCCGATGATATTAAGTAATCTATCAAACTAAACGAAGAATATCAGGAATGCGATTCGATTATTGTTGACAAATAGATTAATTATATTATGAATGAACGCAGACGGTACGCGGTAAAATGGCCGCGTTTAATTTGTATACATATATCCGTATTGATAAATTGCGCCATTTTTCACAAAAGACAAGCAATTAGTTCGACCGGCGAAGGCTCAATAGAAAATGCGCTATGTAACAAACGGTCATTTCGTACAGTCTTTTATGTTAAAAAGAAGGTAACACTGAATTTATAGATCAAATATATGATTTGCAGTAGATTAAAAAAAGCACATAAACAATCATAATAGAAAATTATTAAAGTTTTTTAAAAGCCAATTGTGTTTTGTTTGGGTTTTTGTGTTGTTTCATTTTACGCCTTTTAACATAATTTCAGTTATGAAAGCTAGTTTTTACTTAACATAATTCCTGAAGATTTTACTCAAAGTTCAAGACACCTGTCTCCGCGTAAACTTAAAAAAAGTTTGCAGCGAAGTTAATTCAAAAAGCTTAAAGAAATTGACGAGTGCAGTTAAAGTTTTAAAAAGGGCTACTTAATGTTATGGGGATAACTTTTCTGTTTATTGAAGCTAGCGCTAATCTTTATCAAATTTTTGTTAGAATTCAGTTCTGGATTCAAGTTTTATGTTCCAATAATTGTATCATTGAAAACATATATAAGGAGCTGTTAAATGATGCTATTCATGGTAAAGAGAACTGGGTTTAGAACTTAAAGGTTTTATAAGAAAAATATGGATATGGATATCTTTGGGAAATACAGGACAGTATAATTGGCGGGAAAAGTTTGATCCGTGTTTTAAACAAAGATTGATTGACTGATTTCTTCAGGAATGAAGAAGTGATATTGATAGAAGACCTGTATTATTTGTATATAAACATGTTAAAGAAAATTTTGAATATGAACCTTATTTAACATTGTTGAACAAATCACAGAGACTCGTCATTACAAGATGAGAACGTTTTTGCACTGTTTACGCAGTTATGGAAATAATGGAATAGACAGGGAATATAGATGTGTCAAACAAGTGAAAATGGCGAGATAAAAGATTGATATCACTTTATGCTTAAATGTGAGAGGCACAGTCATTAACAAACGGTAATATAAATGAATATTTCAAACTTCGACCAAGTTTGTTGAAGCTAATTGAAATGCTAAGATATGTGAATCATAAGACAATGACAACTTTGGTGTTGTTTATCAAATGTGCTCTTAAAATTCGAAAAATTTGCTACAACAAAATGATTTTGGTATGGGCGCATATGTACTTAAATTGATCAAACAAGCGAAGAATTTCTGAATCAGTTTCTTACCTTATTGGAAGAGATAATTGATTGAGATAAGGAATGAGAAGCAGCTGGGAGAGCATGAATATCGTATGCTTCGTGCAATGATAAATTGCGCCATTTTTCCCGAAAGACAACCAATTGGAGCGGATGACAAACGCTCCATGTTGTATGATCTGTCAAGAAAATTAATGACTTTTTATTGTACAGATTTGTATACGATGCATTTTATCATTTGTTTTTGTCAAGTTCTTCAAGTTCTAACATAAATGTTTCGACACTTGTTCACAATGGCACGACTGTGTTTTCTTGATTTGAAATAAGATACATGTAGCTGTGAAGAAAAGTTGTTTTGTTTGTTTTTTTTTTGTGTGGGTTTTTTTTAATATTTGTTAGAAAAATCTTGTCAGTTACTAAATACAATGTAAAAGATATTTGTTTTTATTAGGAAGACATATTTCGCGAAAAACGTGATGAAAGATAGTTGCAAAGAAAATCAGTATTTTATTTTTTAATATTTTGTAACTAGAATCAACTTTTCACTGACTAAACGATATTAAAAAGCTATTTATTTATTTATTTATTTATTTATTTATTTATTTATTTATTTATTTATTTATTATAGTGAGACGCAAATGCGAAAAAGGTGAATTTAAATGTACCAATGGTCAATGTATAGATTCGAAATATGTTTGTTACAATGGTAAAAGCATAGGAAGAAATGGTTGTGTCGATGGTTCTCATCTCCTGCATTGTCGTGAGTATCTATATAAATTAACTCTTACCATACAAAATATCATAAATGAATGTGTCTATCTTTCAGTTAAAGCCAAACCATTCTTCAATTTATGGAAATCTACAAAATATGTACTGATTGAATAGCAAACCGTGCAACCCATAATTAGATGGCAGATTAATGTCTGCATTGGTTAAATTGGTATAATTTGTTGCCGCTAGAAGACACAAATTATGCCAGCTACAAAAACAATTTTGTTCCTTTTTTAGGAAAGGGCAAACATCGTTTTATTTTTTCATGTTTATGTTTTAATAATTGTTTAAGAAAATGAAACGAGACTAAACCAAGCTTCGAATGTAATATCATGTATAATAAAAAATGCAAAGTGTAGGCAAAGTAGTGTGTTGACATTTATACAAAATCACTTTTGATATTCCAGTAGCCAAAAAAGCTAAATATGATTCGGGTAATTGACCAATGAGTAACTTTTTTGGAATTAAGAAACGACACCAAAACATAATAAAAGCTATTGCTTAATGCTTAAAAAATCTAGACTTTCAGTATGATTGCAAATACAGATCTCTTTTAAAGTATCTCATTTATATACCTTTGCATCAATTAAACATAGCAATATGTAAAATTGTCTTTACTGACGAGGTGTCAGTTTGTTGCGATTACAATAATGTGCTCAACAATTAAGTAATGTTTTATGTTTTAAAAGGAACTTTTGGCCTTGACCTTCCATAACAATGAAATCAAATTCTATCATTATTTCAGATAACCATTCGTGTTCCGAGGGGCAGTATAAATGTCCACGATCATATTGTATTGACGGGACTGAAAAGTGTGACGGACGAATAGATTGTAAGATGACTTTTGATGATGAATTTGACTGTGGTTTGTATTTTAATTTTCAGTTGTTATTTACTGTTGTTGCTGCTGTTGTTGAATGTTAAAATGTCTTTGAGGTTGTGTTGGCTTGTTGGGACTGAAGTCCTACGGCCATACAGCTTTATGCCATCTTTACTGGTGGAAAGATCTGACTAGAACCACTGAACGTACGTTGACCAGTTGGATGGTAATTCAATAAAAACAACATTGCCTCTTGGGTTTGAACCTACAGCGCTTTGGAACAGGTGAATTGACAGATGATCTATGACCTTAGAAACTCGTTCATGGATGCTTCTTTTTATGTATTCATACATGATTACTTATGTAGGGTAAATATCACGTTAGAATTAAAACTTGATCTGCAATATTTGGGAATAAGGTCTAACAAATGAAAAAAAGTGTCCAGTGTCATTTGTTAAACATTTAGACATTTGCAAGATGTAAAACACACCATAGAAATTGTAAAGCATTTCTATTTATCTTATTAATAAGTTGACAAAAGTTAATTCTGCAGTAGGTGACAATATCACCAACCGTTTGGACATACGGATAGCACTGCATGCTAAATAACATTTATAATATTTAATGTAATTTATAATATTATCTTACCTTATCTTACATTTCAGAACATATAAAACTGGGCCTTTAATCACGTGATGAAATAATCATCTTACTTTAACATAACTGCCCCTGATTGCAGTTGAAAATGTGGCTGTATATGTAAACATCCTTATTTTCAAAACATATAAAACTTTTTTTAAATCCTGACATTATTTAATTTTTTTTACTTTACTCTGAACTTCTCCCGATTTCGTTTAAGAACAAGAATATTTTTACTTATATTTATAGATTTGTATATATCGTTATAGGTTTCAAATGCCCTCACCCTGATATGAAATGTGACTGTCTTGACATAGATATGGACTGTGAAAATAGAAATCTAACTCGTCTGCCACAAAACCTTGCTATAGAGGATTCAACAAAATAGTAAGTGCGTTCCGCCACTCTTACGTCATAGTGCTTAGCGCTATGTGAAACAATGGTAGGATACTACGTCAACGCGCACATGCAAAATACATCTAATCGGATTTAATTTTCCTTTTTTCTTTTTTCTTTTTTTGTGTAAAAATCACCGTCGACACGAATGTATACCCGAAGCAAACGTTAAATATCTAAAAATAATGTAACACACCAAAAAAAACGGCTTTAAATAGTACTTGACATAATTCTAATAACCGTTTAAAGTTTTACTGCCTAGTTTAGTAAAGTTGTTTATTTCCTTAACGCTCCCACTCGACTCCCAACCAAAATTACCCTATTACAGGCTTAAACCATACATTTTGCAAGTGCGCGATGACGTAGTATCCCACAATTGAAAAAAGCAATAAAGAAATCAATTATTTTGGTGTTGATGAGTGATGATAAAGCGCATAAAAGTAATTCACTTACTATGATAATGTGTTTCAAAGCAATTAGAAAGCTCTGTAAATGTTGCAAAAACTAATCAACTGTTGCATTTATAAAATAAAGGCAGGGTAATAAGGTCATATATAACTATTTTGTTTGATGTAAAGTTAGAAAGTATTGCAAATGAGTTTCAACATACCCCCTGTGTAGCAATTTTCAAGATAATTATCGTGTTATGTGTCAACTGATATAAAAATGTTTTACATTTAGACCCCTGTAACTATAGTGTATTTATGGGTACTTGATATAGTGGAATCAATTAATAACTTAGGTTTATCATGTCAATGGAATATATGTTTAAGTCCACATTTATTTGAATATTGGCCTATCTGTACTATGTGTATCTGGGCCATCGCAATCTTTTTATTTTGTTGTTGTTGCTGCTGCTGCTGTTGAAAGGTTTTGTTTTGTCGGGGTTTTCTTGTTGTTGTTTTTTTATTATTGATTTTTCGTTGGGGATGTATTGCACATCTGGATCAGCAGAAATTCACATACATTTTTAAACGATGCTCAATTTTGAGATCCAAAGGGATCAATCCCACGTGTGTTATCAATTTGTATATCATATAATATTCAGAGTGCTTAATACGGTGTACTTATTTTGTTATATTATATTATGTTATATGGAACGAACTTTGAACTTCTTACTCTTCTTACGCAATTTGTTTGTCTTTTGAGTCAAACAGTAACTTTCTTTTCTAAATTGGCTTTTTAAGAAGCATCGAACTAGATATCTGAATATTCAACCGCAGTACACCATTACTTTCTTCTTCGTTATTGCTTTAACAATAGTCTGTTTAGTTTAGATTAACACATGTGAATTCCAAAATCGCATTTTAAATTGCATTTTCTGAATACGTAATTTAGCTTGAATTCTAATGTAAGACAATTTAAATACATTAAAGAAATTGAATAGAAAAATTGAGATAATAATAAAGGCCTAAAATTTATTGTAATTTGCTATTTGTGTTTAATAATTTTTTTTGTCCATGGGCTCGGATTTGATCAATAAATCCCTTCGATTTACAGCTAAAAGTAAATCCGCATCTAGAACTCCTTTCGATTTCTATATTGGTTTTCCCGTCGGTGATTCGCAGCATGTCATATTTATGAATGAGAACCGGAAAGCAGTTCTGCTGTACATGAATTCGAAAGCTATAAATAGCTATTATAAATGTTCTGATTTTTGACACTGAGGTTATAAATTTGTGATTTCCCTTTTTAGTAGTACATGAAATTATAATTTGTTACATTTTGAATTACATTTACACACAGCATATCAAGTATACTATAAGTGATTGAATTTGTCAATATAAACAAGATTACAGGCATAAGACTTCAACAATTTTGCTTTTAATAATTATTATTAATTCATATTTATGAAATTAAATGTTTAATAATAACATGTTGATATATTGGTTGTTTTGAAATAATTAAACTTTAGTATATAAAGTTACATTTCATTTGCGTTAGAGCGTGAGACTTGTAATCTCGACATTGTGGGTTCGATTCCCGGGCTGGCCAACTAAAATTACTAATCAGTCTTTCGGATGAGACTTTAAATCGAGGTCCCGGGTACGGGTGCTTAAACACTTAGCACGCTAAAGAACCAGGTGAAGCTTCTGGAATTGGGGTATCTTTCTGTATCTGTTATTGCACTATCCTCCAAAAAAATAAAATGACTAATACTCTTCTGGAGGACTCGCCCATATGGGCAACCGGTGGCGAGTATAAATAAACGCAAATACACACACACACACGCGTAAACGCAAATACACATATACGCGTCATTGATGTAGCATACCACTTAATGAAAAAGAAAAATATAAGTTTATGACTGGTGACATGTTCGCGGTCCGAACTCTTCAGCGAAAGCTGCATTTTTTGGCCTTACGAGCGGATGATCCCTCATTAGGCATAGGCTATAGATAGATATTATGATAACAATAGAAACTTTGATCTGCAGTTTGAACATATTGTGTAATGTTTTTACGAATGGTTTTAAAGCAATTCAACAAAAAATATATATTGATCTCCCGAAAAATTAAATAACAACATTTTTATATTACCAATATCAAATAGCTTTTATATCTTTGACTCGCACGAACCTGATGTTAGTGAATGTCCTCATACCTGCCTAAAATTCAGGTAACAGTCTTCTATTATATTGATAAATACTGTATCACTATGTAACGCGTGTATAACAAACAAAAAAATCCTGAATTTGGTCTTTTTGAATTGCATCCATTTTTTTATTCCAGAGTGTGTTGTACTTTCAGTATTGAAAGAAACCGTTTTTGTTGTTGTTTTTTTTTTAATTCGACATGTAAACAATGCGTTTAATATTACTATATTATAATATTAGTCCCCTTTGTTTCTATTTGTATATTTGTTACAATCATAATTATAAAAAACAGACTTTGATATTTTTATCATCCTATGTTACTGACTACAGTAGTGACACAAACAGAACACAGTACAGTCTTGTCACATAACTTTTACAAGCCTTGTAGGTCTTGTTTGTATTCAATAGAATTACTTTCCTTACCAAATAGGCATCAGTGAAAGCATTTTTTATATTAAAATTTTTTTCCTCTTTGTTATTATGGACAGTGCATAAGATAAGTACAATGAAGTATAATTATGCAAAAAATGGTTTACAAAACATTCGCAAAAAATCTACAATAGTACTTAATCTAAATATAACATGACCTGTGCGTAGGAATAATTTGCACGGTGCGTAATCGTTCCGGACTGATTTGGAATATTTCCTCGTTCCTGAACTGATTCGGATTTTTTCACCGGATTGATTCATATTGATTGGATTTTGAGCTTGACAAGGCATATAAATATATAAAATTAACATATTTACAACTGTTAGCCATTGAATATTCTAATTGCACGGAACATTGCAATGTTTAAGGAATTCATATACAACTTTATAAGGTTTGTTAACTGTCTTTTATTTAAAACAAATTTCACATGTCAGTGTAGTAGTTGTAAACACTAGGATAAAATTGCCAAAAAAGTTATTATTATCCTTATTTTTTCAGGTATTTCATTCTGCAATAATTTAGTGGCTTTTTTGTAAAATGATTTGTCCGGTAATGAATTTGTAGGACGTAAGCATACAATTAGCGATTTGCCTTGTTTTCCTTAATACGAATCAATCCGGTGCCTTAAAAAAATCACGAGGTTGTCATAAAAGTACGTCCTACAAATTCAATACTGGACAAAACATTTTATTTAAAGCACTAATTTATCGAGGAATGATTTATTTCTATCTTATGATTCTGAAATCTCTGAAAAATCAAAGATTATACTGATTTTTTGGCCATTTTTATGCTAATAATTTGGTAAAGTATCTGTAATCAGCGCATTTTTTGCGCGGGGCTTCTCAGTTGCTGCATTGCAGCAACATTTGTACTTGTTATGTACTCGACTTACCTATCTGTTTAATACAGAATTGATGTATTAAGCGTGTTTAGAATATGATGCCTCAACATTCTTTCTAGTAATAAAACTTAGAAGCCCATTGTGCCCTAAAAATTTATTTTTGGTTTTCTTCTATTGTATAAAATCAGTTACTCATTTGCCATGTACCTGAAATGGCTTCATCTACTGTTGTTTGAATGTAAAGTGATTTAATATTTGTATGGAATTCTTTGTTTACAATTTGCTCCTATTATGACATCTTATTTTACATTAACTGCTATTTTATTAAGTAACAAGCAGCTTTCATACTCTAAAATCATTTATAAATGTTATAAAGCTTATTTTTGACCTTTCTAAAAAAAGTTCCTATTTATTCATTTCTAAGGCATAATGTGTCTTTTAAGCCTGCATGAAACAATAAAAATAAAATAAATGCTGATTAATTCAAATTTCATTGTTATTTTTCCAGTAAATTGGGCGGTAACAGGATTCGGATAACGCAGACAATGTTTGCAAACCTCAGCAAAATTGTTTTATTGTAAGTTATTTTCAAAACTCAATATTTAACACGAAAGGATGCAAAAAAGAGAAAGAAATCATATCTTTATATATTCCTGTCCCAAAATTCTAAAAACAAGAAATATCTTTTTAAAAAGATACTCGGTCGAAGGAAAACTGGTAAACTTACATATGTTATAACCAACCCACCACATTAATTTAGAATAGCCAATGAGATTCCCTGATTTCAGTTTGTAATTTAATAATGACCAATGAAAATTCTTCTTACATTCAGTTCTTCCCTGTAAATTACAGGAAGTGCAACTGACTTTAGACGGCCATGTGGTCGGATAAAACGAACCGATATGCTACTCGTTTCCTACAAATGGAAACGTTTTCGTTAACATCAACTTCGGCGCAGGAGTGTAATTGATCCATTGCTAGAGGCTCGCAAAATATGATTAGATTTTATATAACTCGTTCAACAAACCTAGTATTAAACCAAAACTCCTTCAATACCCTCTATATATTACATCATGGATATTGGCACGGCAAAACTGGAAAATCTAAGGTTTTTATAAAAAAAAATCAAAAGGCACAATATATAAAATGCCAGTATACTACGCCTGTCAGTGTTTTATTTCTTTGGTTCTATTTTCAGGGATATGAATCATAATGGCATAAAAATAATTCCAGAGGGATCATTCAAGGGTTTATGGAGACTCTTTACATTGTATGTATCCTTTGTTTCCCTCTTTATTTTCTGAAAAATTGATAAGAAGTTAGAATTGAAAGACAAACAAAAAAAAAACAGTGTACATACATACCTTACGAGCAAGATGCATTTGCATATATATGTGAGTGGTTCTTAATAGAACACATGGTTGTATTTAACGTTGTTAACCTGGCTTAATCATTGTTTGATGATGATGATGATTGCGGTGGTGTTGATGGTGGTGGTGGTAATGATGATGATGATGATGATGACGATGATGATTATGATAATGATTGTGATTGTGATGATGATGATGACGACGATGATGATAATGGTTATGATTTTGATGATGATTGTGATGATGATTATGATGATGATGATCATGATTGTGATGATAATGATGATGATGATGATGATGATGATTATGATTATGATGATTATGATGATTATAATTGTGATAATGATGATGAAGAAGAAATTATTGTATTCATTTGTTATATTTTATAAATGTTTAAGAAAAACATACCTAACCCGTACAGTCTTTTTAACAGTGTTCCAACATTTGAAATTTTACATGTTATAACCGACAATGTAATTATGGCATCGACTTTTTACCTGCATATACCAAACTTTCATCAGCCTATAACTCTTAACAGACCATAATGAGTGTGGAACCATGTGAAGACTATTGTAGCGTATTTCGGAATTGAAATCCTTACGGTGAATTTTTCCAAATTCAAAACCGGACAAAACTATCACACAAACTCTGTAAACATTGTTTCATAAATGCTTTAAGTCTGTTATTGTATACTATACAAATGTTTTTGCTTCTATTTTTAGGAATTTGGAGAATAACCTGATAGAAAATATAAGCAATGGAACATTTAAAGGGCTGACAAATCTAAGGACACTGTAAGTAGTAGTAAGAGTTATCTTTCTTTGGTTTTCATATTAAACAATTGTGAATATCAACCTGTATAACTTTTATGTTACATAACTTGAGGAATATATATTTACATATTGACATATAAACATTAATAAAATCAAACTTGACATATTTATGTATTTCGAGCATAGGCACTTTGGGCTTTTTTTGGGGTTTTTTTTTTCGATCGACTACCCGTTGTGACCGACTACACACCGTGATTTTTTTAAACTTTTATCAAAAACACAGACACTTATCAAATCTATAAAAACAAACCTAGCGACAGAAGTCTTTTTAGAAATTATGCTACACAGTAGATATAACTATTTTTTTTAAAAGACGCTTTGTCGGTAGAATTTTATTGATTTAATAAATATGTGTGGTATAGATTAAAGTTTATAAAAAATCACAGCGGGTAGTCGGTTACAACGGGTTGTCCATCAAAACATATTGTTTGCCATCAAGTGCCTATGATTTCAAGCACTAGTATGAGGTCTTTTTCTAATTCTTTTCCTGCATTGATGCCTTTTTTTATTTTATAGGTACTTAAGCGGAAACAAAATACGGGAGATTACCCCACTAGGCTTTATCGGGTTGTCGAATCTTCATCACTTGTGAGTATAGAGTAGAAATGGGAGCATGGATATTGTAAAGTTGATTAAATTTATTTGAGCGTTATAGGATGAACAGAAAAGTAATTTTTCCCTCAGTAGAAACTTAACATATCTGCAAAATGATTAGCCTAGTGATGTTTTAAATTGGGTTCTGTACTACTTTTTTAATTTCTATGGTTAATTTACACCCGAATGCAGCGCAAGAACAGATTGAATTGAATTTTCTTTTTGCCAATGTGAATTTTGTAAAATACAAGCATTGTGAATTTGTAAATCACTTTCACTTGTTTGAACTAGTCTCAGTATTGCCTAAATATGGTTGTAATTAAACCGTCGAAACAGTTTTTCACATTGCTTTAATACCTGAAAGTGGATCATAGTTACCTGCAAAACGTAAAGCATCGGGTCTTAATCCCATAGAAAATTTGTCGCAATTATTAGACATAGCACAGTTATTATTAATGATAGCAATTTTCAAACATGCAAAGATTTCATGAAGAAATACCTTGACACGTTGAAATTTGCTTCAATATTTTCTTAAAATATATCTAAAATTTCTGAATACCTCTCTGATAATTTAAGATCTGTCTAACATATTTATATATGTATCTTTTTTCAGGAATTTGAGTTACCAAGCTTTAGAGAAGCTCTCTCAAAACACATTTACAGGTTTGCGAAATGTCAGGACCCTGTAAGTAATTTGAAATGATGATTTATTAAAGGAGCTCCGCTGAGGTCAAAATTGCCTAAAACATAAAAAAATATATTCTTACATAGATGAAGCGAAACACTAAAATGGAAAAATCTTAAAAGGACATTTAAGAAATATGCTCAGAACAAAATGGAAAAAAACACGATATTTTGTGCTATTATGGGTTCTATCCGAGTGAAAAGCGTTGCAACGCTTTCCATATTTGGGTCACTTTGCACATACAAATGATGACAGGGTGATGGAATAGTTTGCAAATTTTCACAAAAGATATTGCTCAAAACATACATCAAATGGTACACTTATCTTTGAGTTATAGTGCCACTCAGGTCATGTCTAAAAACCTCAGTGGAGTCCCTTTAAAATAAATTTACTTTAATGTTGTGACCTCGTTATATCACAAATGAATTGCATTTGCCGATACGTATAATAGCGAAATATAACACAATATGGCACAAAGCGCCTTTGATGAAGATTTTTGATTTCGTTTTATATAATATTACTTAGGCTTAAAATTTCTCAAAATAAAAACATAATTATATCTATATACGTTTAATTCTTCTATTACTTACTTTGCCACCGTTGTATCTGTAAACTATTTGACGAAATCGTCAGCAGCAGATTTATTATTTACAGCTGAGCATCACATGAAAGTACAAATTTGATTTCCAAGATTTTATTTCATGAGAACCTTAATTAATTTATCATTTCTTCTACAGGAATTTGTCTCACAACTTCATATTACAAGTGGATGAGGGAGCCTTTAATGGTCTTGAAAATCTTAAATTCTTGTAAGTATTTGATATTTAAATTCCGAAATCATCAATTTTTAAAGGTTTATTCATATGTGTAATACTTCTTTGTATAATTATGATATTGCAGTTTTTACAAATATTTCATTATCAGTATAGATGGATAATTAATTGTTTTATTAAACCTCACTTAAACTTTTTACTATACAGACATACTTAAATATTTTGCAAAATTTCCAAGGGGCGAGTAATCTATATAGACTTAAGAAAACTTAATATACTAGTTCTTTCCCCTACTTGGTACTACTTCTTTCCTTCAATTGGTGAAAAATTACAAAACTTCTCAATTCTCGGGTTGCTAATATGCACTTTTACACTGAGAGACATGTGTTATTTTTAAAATTATATTTTGCTCTCAGTGCTAATAGTGATAAAGGAGATTGATTGCATCAGAGTAATTATATCTGATTTATTCAAACAAAAGATGGTACAAAAATACCAGCGAACAAGACAGGAAGTACAAATAATTGTCATTTTAATGTAATTGAATATCGAACCGAGCAAACACGGTCGGATTCAACATGTAAGAAAACTATCAAGCTAGCTAACGGAAAGTCGGTGGTTCTACTCAGGGCCTGAAATAATGTACAAATGGAAAGCTGAGGTCTTCATCCACCAGTTAAGCTGAAAAGTCGTCATATGACCTATACAGTATTGGTGCAACGTGTAAATTACAACCAAAAAAAAATTGAAAGTGCCTTATGTTCTTAACGTGTTTGAATCATTCGGTCATTTATCCGTCTCGTGAAAATATATTCACTTTTTTCTGTTATCTTTTTATTCCAAAAAAAAAATTACTTGAATATTTAACATGTATTATGATATTCCCTTATTTTGCTATTAAAACCTGATTGGTTTTTTATTGCTTTTGTTTTGTTCAATTTCAGAGATTTGTCCTTTAACGAAATTACTACGTTACAGACTCATGTATTCAACGGATTAAAACTTCTAACATTTTTGTAAGTCAATATCCATATTTTAAAATATCACCGTGCTTTGGTTATATATAAATGAGCCGCGTCACGACAAAACCAATATAATGGGTTTGCGACCAGCATGGATCCAGACCAGCCTGCGCATCCGCACAGTCTGTTCAGGATCCATGCTGCTCGCTTACCAATCCTATTACAAGTAGAAAAAAACTGATAGCGAACAGTATGGATCCTGATCAGACTGCGCAGATGCTCAGGCTGGTCTTTATCCATGCTTGTCGCAAACCAATTATGTTTGTTTTGTCACGACGCGGTTCAAATGTATGGAAGCTACTCGTTTCAAGACTCTTTCCTTGTGAATGTGAGATGAAAAGTTTCTTTCCTGTCACTATAGATTTTTTATCTAATTATTTGTACATAAACACCAGTAGTACAGTCACGGGCCGAGTTTGTAGATTTATATAATATTAACAGGGCACAAAGGTGACATGTGTGTGTTTTTATTTATCTCGTGGCCACGAGATACTATGTTGTAGCCACGAGTTACTAATCGTTGGGAACGAGAAAGCTAACTCGTGGCCACGAGATACTATGTCGTGGCCACGAGTTACTAAGTCGTGGGAACGAGATAGCTAAGTCGTGTCCACGTGTGCGTGTTTTCATTTATCTCGTGGCCACGACATAGTATCTCGTGGCCACGAGATAAATAAAAACACGCACATGTCACCTTTGTGCCACCGTAAATATTTGTACAATTCGTAAATATACTTTTTTAAGCTATATAAGATAAAATTGATAACCTTGCAGAGATGTACAACGATCATGTTAATGGGGGGAGAGTGCTCAAAACCTGCCTTTGCTCTTTCATTAAAGTTGTTTGCAATTTACTGAACTGGCATTTATATATGCAACTTAATTAAAGAGAGGTTTAAAGGAACTTTACTGAGTCCTATTCAATAGAACTTCATGATTTCACCATATTTTTCAGGGATGTATCAAACAACAGGATTGAGATACTAGAGGACAACGTGTTCCAAGGTTTACAAACACTAGAACATCTGTACGTACTTTTTTCATTTTATCTGTAAACAGATTGGATCTTAGATTATTAAACTCGTTAGAGTTACAGTTTGTTTTTTTAAAGAACATTAATACTGTGTACCAGTCGATTCCGGACATAAGCACTTATGAATAAGTTGTCTTTTCGACCATGCGACTACATACATGCATCGAGGACATGTTGTAATGAAAGTGACCGTGCGACCACATAATGCATCACAGGATTCTATGAGGATTCCCCTTCTCTTCCAAAGAGTTTTCCGCCCTTTTTATATAAGGGCAGATTTTAGAAATATGTCATTTGCTTAATGTTATTGATAAGGAAGTTATTTTAACACATGCCTTGACTTGGTTTATATACAAAAATAGTTACGCAAACCAAGCGGGGAATCAGTTTTCGTCCTTTAAGTTCGCTATGATATTTAAAAAAAAAATTCCTTATGTTTTCAGATTCACGGATGAGTTTAGATTTTGCTGTGCCGCCCAGATTACAGGTGAATGTTTACCAAAACCTGACGAATTTTCCTCTTGTACAGATCTTATGTCTAACTTTGTTCTGCGAGTCAGCATATGGATTCTTGGCCTGGTCGCTTTCTGGGGGAATATCGTGGTCGTTGTATGGAGAACACGTGACCTGAGAAACGGAAAGGTGATTTTATATATTATGAATATATAAATTTATATTACCTATAATATAATAGATGTATTTTTCTGATTCTTTAAGCAAAATATCGTTCTTGCAATTCTACAAATGTATTATTTTCTTTCTTAAATATAATTAATATAATGATCTCAGTAGGGGGTTAAATTTGTTTATTTATTAAATTATTCATTCATTCAATCATTCATTTATTGATTCATTTATTTATTTATGACAGATTTATTGATTTCTAGAATTGCACCCATATATCCCCAAATAACACTACATTTTACAATATCTATTACAAACAGCTTTTTTAAAACTTTTTGCAAAATTAAAGCGTATTGTGTCGGGTATTCTTTTAACGAATAATATTAAAACTAATAGTTAAACTTCACTGATAAAGGGAAGAAATACGATCATAACAATTACCTATCCATTCATTAAGTTACTTCCCTTGACAAATTGAACCAAAAAATATTCTTATTTATCGGCATATCTCTATAGCTTAGTTTTGAATTTATATTAATACACATACAACTTTCATAGATATTGTAGCACCATTAGATTATAGCAAATGCTCATATAACCCCCCCCCCCCCCATGAACTTTCGACCCAACGTAATTTTGCCAGGGTTTTAATTTTCATTTGATTAAATACACTCATTTATCAGGTAGTATCCAAAACAACCATTTTTTAAATTATTTCTGACACTATTTTTAATATGAGGATATTTTAAGAATACTTATATATATTTATTCTGGTAATCTGCTCATGTATGCAAATGGTTTATTTCAGAATTTATGATTTCTATAAAAAATATGTCGTCGGCAAATTGTGTCTCAGAACAAGGTCTACTGGCGAAAATTAAAAGAAGTTCACTGCGTTTTTTTTTTTTTTTTTTTTTTTTTTTTTTTTTTTTTTTTTTTTTTTTTTTTTTTCATTTTTTTATATTGTTTTTTACATGGCGGTGACTGGAAAATGATTTTTGCTAGTTTAAATTTTTATTTGATGTAAGTCCGGACTGATTAATTATGTGAACGTTTTCAGATTATTCGCTTTAATATTCCGTTTTTCTTTAATAATATTAATATTAATGATAATTCTGATTGTGAAAAATGACCATGAATGTAAAAGCGTTGCAACGCTTTTCACTCGATAAAGGGTTTATAGCAGCATAAAAACCGGTTTCGCAATGTACATCGGAGTATACTTCTTAATTATCTTTTGCATAATATACTGTTAAAAGTGCTCAAGCTGATCTAAGAAGGAAAATTCAAATATTATGCTTTTAGGTTTTTGGACCGTAGTAGAGTGCCTTTAATTGTGTATGTCAGTTTCTGTGTTGGGGACATGTATTTCCGGGTTTTTGTAGATCAAGCAGCACGTTTCAACCTTCGAAATTGAGAATTGGCTGATGACTATATTTTTCATTTAAGAAAATGACATAACAAGCTCTTTTCTGATGTGTTTATACATGTAGGTGATGTTTGTAGGACTTATGCATATATATAATAAAATATATATATATAAATATATATTTATAATATATATATATATATATATTATAATATATATATATATATTTATATATATATATATATATATAATATTTATATATAAATTGCAAGTACATTTTATTCAAACACTTTAACTTTTCCTGAAAATTTATTTGTCTGTTTGTTTAGTGCACTACCAGGTTTATGATAAGAAGAAATGAATCTCAAAAATCTGAAAAGGAGCGTTTAAAGTTAAAAGTACATGAATATAGATATTTTTTCAGTTTTGGTATTTTTTATCATTGGGTGTTAAGTAAAAATCAAACAAACGCCATTATGGCCTAGAATAACAATTTTGCTCCATAAGTCAGCTCACTACTTTCCTTCTAAAAGTTGAAACGGAAAATGTCGAATTTTACCGAATTTGTACGAGCTCCGATAATCATAACAAACATTGTATATAAAAGGGATTTGTTGAATGACAAAGGATATACTTTTACAAAGCAGGTTTTTTTAAGTTAGGAACATTGTCGAAAAGTTTCTATTCATTTTGTTAATATCCCTCTTAATTGTTTAAATGATATTATTTAATTTTTTTATTTTTATATACAATGTATCCATTAATATATCAATATTAACAAGAAAAAAAGATCGCGTCATATCATGAAATCTAGTAATTTGTTTTGGAATTTCCTTGTTTCATGTATCTATTTATGGGGTACCATTTAAGTGGAAATATTCTATTACGAATTTCTTAAACTTGATTATTTTAACTGTTTGTAACTTAATTTTTAATTGATTTTAAAACCCCTTTAACTTCAAATGGACTGTTCCAAACTAAAAAATGGAAAAATCCATTTTAAACATTCAGCTGGTCAAGCTTTCTCATTTGCGACTCTTTAAAAAAACGTTACTCCGCGATTGTGTTAAGTACACTGTTTTTATGTTTTGCTGTTCACATAACGTACTATTTCATATTCAGTGGTATTTTTGTCAGCTGATATGCATCTTATATATTGTAAGTCCATTATAACAGCATAACATAAAACATATTTACCCTTTGTAGTATATTTCTCGGGCTTGATATGTATAACTGATAAATGTATTGACTTTATACTTGTAAATGAAATAACATATATGTCTCGGATGGTATATTGATGAAATAAAATGCGTATTTTTATTTCCTATATTTTCATTTTTGTACAGTTTGTTAAAGGTCCACTGAGGTCAAAAAATCCCAAAAATGAAAAGTTCATTTTTTTTACATAGATCAAGTGAAGCAGTTAAAATGAATTAATTTTGAGATGGATAATTAAGAAATATACTAAAAATTAAATTGAAAAAAAAATGTTTGTGTTATTTTAGCCCGATTTGATTCAAAATAGTTGCAACGCTTATCATTTTACGTCTATTTGCACAATAAAATTGAATTAACTGGAAATCGGGGTAAGAGAATGATCTGAAAATTTGCACACAAGTTATTGGTGCAATATATCAAATGGTACACGTATCTCAGAAAAATATTTCCTGTTTTGTAATGCCAAAAAGTCAGTGGAGTCCCTTTAATGATTATATTTTTGGTTTGGTATACTTTCAGGTGCACTCATTCCTTATAACGAATCTTGCCATTGGTGACTTCCTCATGGGTGTGTACATGATGATTATTGCAATTGTTGATTTCTACTATCGCGGAAACTACATACTTCACGACCGATTTTGGCGGGAAAGTGAATTGTGCAAATTCGCGGGCTTTATATCAACATTCTCGAGCGAGTTGTCTGTCCTTACATTGACTGTGATCACGCTGGACAGACTTGTTTGTATAATATTTCCCCTGCATTTTAGACGACTAAAACTTAGAGACGCATCCTACGTCATGTGTTTCGTATGGGCTCTCGTGTTGGCGATTTCCGCTGTTCCGTTGACTGGAATTGATTATTTTGGGAATTTCTACGGACGTTCGGGGGTGTGTCTAGCGTTCCATATCACAAGCTCCAAACCAAAGGGCTGGGAGTACTCAGTGGCGGTGTTTCTTGTTTTGAACTTTATATCATTTTTAGTGATATTTTTCTCCTATCTACGAATGTTTTTCGTCGCTAAACAGACTCGAAGCGCTGTCAGAAAAATACAAGATAAAAATGATAGTGCTATGGCACGCAGGATGACCATAATTGTGGCAACCGACTTCTTTTGTTGGGTTCCAATCATTCTTCTAGGTTTTGCCTCGCTCGGAGGAGCGGAAATTCCAATAGAGGTAGGGACATAATTTTCCTATGTGTAATTAAACTGTGTTAAATAAAATATGAGACGAGAGCTGTATTATTTAATTTCAAAAATGATAAAAGTATGCAAGAATGCGTCACATATACATTGTACTGATTGACCGGTAACCTAAGAACGGTTTTTCATTTACATTACTTTTATGGTTATCCCTATTGAAATTTTACGAGCGGCTTACCTATATGAAAAAAATAAAGAAATGTTGATATAAATTATATATTATTATGAATTGTACATTTTTGTATGAATTAAACGAATTTAGTCAATATGAAAACAATGATAATTAAATAGTTCATTTCAGGTGTTTGCTTGGGTAGCTGTGTTTGTCCTCCCTTTGAACTCGGCTGTAAACCCCGTGCTTTACACAATATCAACACCGCCATTCTTACGTCACTTCCGGAAAAGAGCCAATATCTTCAGGAAGTCGTTCAAATTATCATCAAAAATAGAAACAAAACATAGCTTTCTAGGTTGGTTATAATTTTGACTTAAGCAAAGTATGGAAACGAGTTACCTTATGTACATCATCCCATTTATTAGTTGCGATAACTGTTTAAATTGTTTCTTTTATGTAATATGTTTATACAATTAAGTTTATGATAATTGAATTAGCTAGATTGTGTTGGAAACTATAAGCTAAATGAAACACTCTTGAATTCGTTCTTGGAATTGACCATTAAGGTTAAAGTTTCTTGCTTACGGACGGGGTTTGAATCCACGCGGCCAGGAATCCTTAGATTACTTATCCCACGGTGCATATCCATATCGGTACCCTCTTTGCGAAATCTGCTGAAACGGTACCCTCTTTGTACATGCACAGGCCACTCTATGCTCAAAACAAACCAGCGATGGATAACAAGCCAGTAAAAATTCATTGTAATAAGGAAAGTAGGTATGACACGTGGAAAAGATGTATACCACGGAACACTAGAATGTTTTATCTATGTGCTGATTTGTCATGTTCCCGTTTTTCATGTACTGCAACTTCACAATAAGCTACAAAATATCAACATGTCTTACCTCACCCATCACCTCGACATACTTTTCGGGCTGAAATGAACCTGTGGCTTGATGATATACACATCATACATATCTAATATGTTCATTTACATATCATCTTCGGACAAATGGCAGTACATTGTCAAAAATAATGGTAAAGTTCATAAAAACACCCTACTTTCAGTTTTGCAGCGGCACAGGCTACCTCTCTTCATTTGAATTTTTATATCACAGGTACCCTCTCATTTTTTAACACATACGAGTAGGTATACTCAATGCACGACATATGCTTTTATTTGCGTTAAGTGTTAAGTATGTTATATTTACATAAATAAAGAAATATTACATACCTTACGATTAACGCAAATAAAAGCATATGCCGTGCCTTTAGGGTACCTTTGTGTAAAAAAATGAGAGGGTGCCTGTGATATAAAAAGTCAAATGAAGAGAGGTAGCCCGTGCCGCTGCAAAACTGAAAGTAGGATGTTTTTATGAATTTTACAATTATTTTTGACAATGTACTGCCATTTTACCGATGATGATATGTAAATGAACATATTAGATATGTATGATGTGTATATCATCAAGCCACAGGTTCATTTCAGCCCAAAAAATATGTCGAGGTGATGGGCGAAGCAAGACATGTCGATTTTTTGTAGCTTATTGTGAATTTGTAGTACATGAAAAACGGGAACATGACAAATCAGCACATAGATAAAACATTCTAATGTTCCGTGGTATACATCTTTTCTACGTGTCATACCTTCTTTCCTTATTATATTGAAATTTTACTGTATTGTTATCCATCGCTGGTTTGTTTTTAGCAGAGAGTGGCCTGTGCATGCGCAAAGAGGGTACCTTTTCAGCAGATTTCGCAAAGAGAGTACCGATATGGATATGCACCGTGTATCCGATGCAATTACCACTCGGCCACGCCGCCACTTAATGTAGCCATATTTGGTATGTCGGCCACGTGGGCTTTACTGCCTAATATTGAACACACTTTCAATTTTTCAGATTTATATTTCAAACTTAGTAATATCATTGATTTGCAATGCTTTATACACTTACATACACCTACATACATGTATATTTATTGCATTGTATATCGATTATTATGTTATATCTTTTTTCAGAGGAGAGCTCTTCACTTAATTAACGATGCTTAATACACTTACATACACCCTTTTGCATTATTGATATCGATCCTTGACTAATATCTCTTTTTCAGAAGACCGCTCTTCACATGTTTGGGACCGGAAGCCGAAATATCGCCATCTTGAATTGATGCGCATGCGCAGTATGAATAACTCTCCATGTCAAAATCATTATACAACCCCATCACATTCACATTCACATTCGGATCATTTATTATAAAATTGAACATTTTATTTCGCTTATCAGTTTCGTTATTTTTGTCGCCTGTGTATGTTTGGAGGATACGGTTTATTTGCAAAGTATGATATTAGACTTTAAAAAAAAAAAAAACATGTGTATGTGCGTGCGTCCGTGCGTGTATGTGTGTGAAAAAGAGTGAATAAGGATGTAGAATTATGTAAAAGAAGAATTTTTTCTTTCATTTCTTCTGTTTACAATGGTTCCTTTTCATTACATGCGGGAATGTTGTGTGTGTGTCTTTGTTTATTCTATTTAAATTTTCATACAAAAATCAATAAGACTATTTTTCTTAAATACATATTTAATTATCGAGGTTCATAAATGAATAAAGTGCGCATGTCACATATGTTCCACCGTAATATTCGTTCAGTCAGTATTTTATCTTATTTATTTATTTATTTTTTTTTTTTTTTTTTTTTGGTGGTGAATAAATCACCACTTTTTTGGTGGGGGGTTTATGTTTTTGTCGTATAAATATGATGATCTGTTTCTTTATATTCTCTATCATTTTGTTATTTATATAATTATTTTTTACTGTTGGAGCACTTTATTTTAATTGACTATACTGCACATGCATAAAGATAATTGGCAGGTAGTTTCTCTTTGTGGTCTACCACAAACGTTACAAAAATCACTCATTTTTGTACCATATTCATTGTTATATTCCAAGATATCATAGGTCATGGTTCCACGTGATTTTAGAATTTATGATTATACATGTTTAATGTTTATTGAAAGTAATTCATAAGAGAGAAAGATTTGCTTTAAATGGAGACCACTGAGGTTTATTGTTATGATTGGTCTGAGATTTATTGTTCATTTGATAAAAGACTAGACCAATTACTTGTGTGCGAAATTGTAGATCAATCGTTCAATCGTTTGTCCGGAACGATTATTCTAATTAAGAAAAAAATCATTAAAAACGCTTTTCACTCAAATTGGGCAAAATAACATTAAAATTCGATTTTTAATTATATCTGAGTATATTTGTTTATAATATTTAGCATATCTGTCTGTTTTAAGTGCCCCAGCATATCCATGTAACATATTCAGATTTTATGAGGATATTTTAAATTTTAGTGGAGTTTCTTTAATGAGAAACAGTCCAAAAGTTTTATGGTTACAAAAATGAACGCTTGATTTGCCAACTTTACGTTTTATAACGTTATTTTGACGTCGATAAATTTCGACATTTTCCTGTTGTTTTTTTTTTTACCATGATTTCACTCATTCATTGTTAAATAAATATCTTCAAACACGCTTCCGATAGAAGAGATAAATAATAAACTTCACAAAAAAATTATAATGAAAAGCATAAAGTCTAAAACATAAAATTTTGAAATTATTGCATTAATCAACTGAAGCACCTGAAATGGAATATATGCAAAGGGTAATAAAAAAAATATACTAAGAAATAGAATTTAAATCCAAAATCGATTTTAATGCAATTTGGTCCGATATGAGTTTAGTATTTGAATTTTTTTTTGCCCAATAGAATTGCAGTATCTGAAATGAATCGTAACACAATAAGTATAGGTTTATGTTCGTTATGTTCATAAGAAGGTATTTACATAATTAAATAGGCCAAGAACTGCGCAACCATTCAACCAATTCAATGTAGTAAATGCTTACTAATAAAGTGTTTAAAATTACTTTTGTAAAACTGTCGATTTACTAGACTGATAAAATTTAGGCGATTTACGAACATAAATGTGTAAGGTTTCATTTTGAAATACTGCGATTCTCTAGTAAAATAAAAACAGTAAAACATTGAAACAGTAATTTTTTCTTTTGTAAATCGCCTAAAACTATTGATCATTCTGGTACAAACACTGCGCCATTCTTGACCAATGTTATTTTGTAAATGCTAACATGTATAAAACGATTTTGATCTTAGAACATTTTTGCACATTGTAAAATGAGAATAATTCTGCACACTAGATATTTGTTCTGACCTTAATAAAAATGATACACATGTCTTCATATATTTCCAGCCCAGACATGTTTAACAACCTCAGTGGAGTCCTTTTTAAATTATTTATATGCTAAAAAAATAATAGAATGACTGTAATGCTTCCGTAATGTTTCTGTACTGCTTCCGTAATATTTCTGTAATGCTTCCGTAATGTTTCTGTAATTAGGTGTTTGACAAGAAAATTTGTAAAGTTGTGAATAAAAACAAATTGTCATTAAGGTGACTGATATGGCTAACATAACATTAGGCAGTTTAATGGATGTTAGATTTTTTCCTATTATCACTTTTCCCGTGTCATTTATTTTTTCTTTAAATAATGTAATACGTATTAGAATATATTGAAACTTGAAAATGAAAAAAAAACGTGTCAAATGTGATATTTTAAGAATTTGACTACGTGCATTTTAAATTTAATTATGTAAATTTAGTATTTGTGTTTAAGTATTAATTTTTCTCTCAGCACATTTAATAATTGTATTTACTTTTATAACTAATTGAAACTATGAAAACTAACTAAAGGTCAACAAATAAAGTGAGTAGTATATATTCTTGAGAAAATTAACTGAAATATATTACACTGGCAATTTAACAGATACATTACACGAATTGGTTTTTCATTTTCTTTCTTCTTTTCCGAAATAACTATCCTATCATTTCAGTTAATAATGAACCTGGTAGAAAAAGCATGTAAAAATAGCAATCCAGTGTTTCCAGGTGAATTTAAAATGCAGAACAGTTTTTCCTTTTGATCACGCTGAAAACAAAATCACGTTTACTTTTAAGAAATATTTGTTATATTTTCACGGGAGTAAATTCTAATAGCTATGTATTGTATGTAGTGTTTAGGTTATCATTTATATTTTCATAGGAGTAAATTCTAAGAACGGCGGTCGGGGTTGTAGTGTTTAGGTTATTATTTATGAAAAATAAAACATTTTATGAAAAAAAATATTGTATAGATATGTTTTACTGTTTAATATAAATAAATTTACGTTTACATTTTGATTATTTGTTTGTTAACTGAGTTGTCATTTAAATTTGTTAAATTATTATGATATGTACATATATTTGTGGTTTCATGACAGAGTGATGTTGTTTAAATAAAAGTGTATAAAGTGGTGAACCTTTCTTTTATAAAGTTAATTTGTCACACCTCCTTGAAAATATCTTACATTTTTGACAGGTTAAGTTTTTGGCTGTTACAATATGAAACAAAACAAAACAGGCTTCTTATATACGCATTCTTGAAATAATGCACGGCGGGGCACCTGAGATCTTCCTCCACCAGTAAAGCCAAACTCCGCGCACCGGGTAACCGCTGCCTTCACACAAATCACGTGATGGTGATCTTTTCATATGATTGTGTCAAAATGGCGGCTATCGTTTAAAATCTTGAAAAAATGTTGTGATGGCAGAGAGCTAATCCTGTAAGGGGAGATCACTGCGTGAGAGATTGCCGAACAGTTGGAGCCTATACTGTTTTGGTGTGACGTAAAACCCAATCAAACAAACAAACATATACCCATTCCTGGTCAGGCTTTAAAAATATATAATAATTATGTTGTTTCCTAAACGGATTTAATCGTTCTTTGATTAATAGTGCCACTTTTACATATCTTATACTCAGAAGTGCATTGATTACTTCATCTTACAGTTAAATAGAAATAGAGAATATTAAAGCAATGGAATCTGCATCAAATAAACACATACATAAATAATCCATAATTTTTAGTAGATCTTTGTCTTACTTTTACTTTACTGTATTTTTTTCCAATAAAAAAAATAATTTGATGTTCATAAAACATTCTAAATAAGCCATGTATTCATTGGTTATTTTCCCCTCGTCATAGATAGTCGTTATTTTGTAAATCAGAATCAATATCACTTAATCCCACGTGACTGACCTCACTTGTCCGTTTCCCAATCTCTAAAAGCTTCATTCTGTTATTGAAAGATTCTGATTGTTTGCGTCGGCGTCCTTCGGCTGCAAGCATGTTGGCCAGTGCTGAGAGTGGACCGGAAACGGAAAGTTGCTGAGAGCGCCGTCTAGATACGCTTGAAGTTGAAGGGTAAGATTGTGCGAATCTGCCAAAATTTATTTTAAAGAATGGCAACCGGAAATTGCGTTTACCTAGTGACAACAACGCATTTCGATGCGCATTTCTTTCATTGCTCCGCTGGCTGTAGACCATGTCTGCCAAAGATCGTAAACCGCCAGTTAGAGAAAGTTGTGCTCGTTTTCTGTTGTCTGTTAATTCGATATCATTCCAGTCAGTGTTCGTGTCAGCGTCACTTGTATCATCGTTATGTAATGCGTCAATGATGACGTCACTATCGACGTCATTGTCCATGACGTATCCGTATGGTAAAAACATGAAGAGATTACACACAGCGGCGAGGATCATTGCCGAAATTAGATTCATACAGGGCTTCATGATGTCCTTTGATATTTTATTTCTGAAAAAGAAGAATAAGAAAAGAGTGATGGATTTTCTTCAATAAGTTTTTAATGTATTATGTTATCCGGTATAGGTCAAGAACGCCTAGCAATTATATAAACTCTATGGACCTTCAAAAATGAAAAAAAATGATTAAAGTTAGAAGGAATTTCCGACATCTCCAAATGAAACGGTACTGAACAAAACTGAAAAAAAATGATATTAAAGGAGTAAATTGAGAAGAAATTTCCCACATCTGCGAATGAAAGGGTACAGAATAAAAGAAAAAGGAACTGAAGAAATCAAAGTGTAAGATTATGCACCACCTACATTGTCAGTATGATAAAGAACCTGCTTTTGGAACAGTACAACATTAATCACGACAACTGTTTAAAGGGAGACAAAGGCAAAATTTCATTTATTAGTTTCGAATTTTTCATTCCTTATTCTGTAAATGCCCACAAAATGAAAATATTAGACTGTTAAAGGAACAAAACTGTTGTCCATAAAAATAATAAAATGGTGGTTTCTTAACCTGACCAGCGTGGGTCAGGTTAGAGCGCTAGGATATCACAATAGTGTTCAATGGAACTCTGGAAACGTTAAAGAACATATCAAATGAATGATTTTGACTTGTTTCAATCATACAATATCCACAGTATCTGTTAATGTAACTTCAAGGATTCAAGTAATCTGACTTGTTTTAAAACTATTCGGTGATTCTTTTGGCGTCTTAATTTTGTTCAACATATATAGATATATATATGCTTCAAATTCATAATATATAGAATTTAAACAGAAATTCATGCTGAAACTTTTAGAAATGTCATTTTAGGGCGAGTTGAGTACAAATAT